GCGAGCCGGGGGGGGAGGGGGGAACTTAGATAAAAACTGGGCAGAATCCTGTTTGGAAAAAAACCTCGCATTCGATACGGTTATCGATTTCTGTATCGAATGCGAGGTTTTTCCAAGCAGGATTCTGCTTTCGTTTCCCTAAATTTTCATAATTTTTTGGTTTAGAATGATTTTTTTCGGCTCATGCGCAGGGGCTGTCGTCCTTTTCTTGGGCTAAAAATTCAAAACAGGGTTGCCACAGAATTTAGAAAATTAAATTCCCTAACATTTCCCTGATTTCCCTGACACACTTTGGTGAAATTCCCTGACGATCGAAGGTGTGACGGGTGGTTAAGAGGGCATAATTGAAAATAGTTTTCGGGCAAAATTTCTTGTTCAAAATCTCAAACCCATTCCAGAAAACAAATGAAGGTGATTTAACAAATTTGCCCTGACATTTCCGTCATTTTCCCTGACAATTCCCGGGTTTCCCTGACTTTTAGCATTCCCTGACATTTTGTCATGGTAAGGCGTGCCATATCGCCTATGGCAGTTATGTCCGCACTTTCCACGATGCGTCCGAAAGCATGGCCCTCGTCCCAAGGTATCGGACGCATCGTGGAAAGTGCGGACATAACTGCCATAGGCGATATGGCACGCCTTACCATGACAATTTTCCGGTTTTCCCTGACTGCAGTGGCAACCCTCGCAGGGGCTACCGTTCTTTGTTAGGCTAAAAATTCAAAATCTGCCGAGATATTTGACCTAATCGATGCGATATCGCAAAACAGTTCTACCGCACCGCTTGAGCTTGACGAATGACCATAAGCTCTTTTTGGAGGATACCCGGGGATGGGAGCCGCGATGGCGCCTCGGCTCGGCTATTTCGGGCCGCCGATGCCGATCCACGAGAAATTCCTCGCGAGGGAGCCGGGCGGGCGCGTGACATTGACACCGGCGCGACTCGTCAATTCCGTCGTTCGACTCGGAAATAAACAGCGACGGAGGAGCCACAGCATCGACCGACGACGATGACGATGGACGGGACGCGAGCCGATTTCCATGCCATCCGCGGGGGTCAACGACACGTCTCATCTTCGCGCTTCGCTCCTCTAATATTGAATCCTCCTCGCCCGACGCACTGTGGGCCAGAGGTGCCGGTTGCGCGAGAATAATTGATATCTCGGCTAAATCCGAACGAAAATCACTAAGTTTTGGTTTACGGGGGTTTTTTGGGTCGCTGAACTCGAATTTGATATCAGATTTTTTCAAAAATCACAGGAAAAGTATGTTATGAGGATATACGCTAGTCCAGTGATGATTCCTTTTTATGAGCAATCTCACTGAGATTAGGAACCATTTTAACGCTGGAGAAACTTTCAGAAACAAAATTGAGAACTTGGATGTGACCAAGAAGAGTCTGGAAAACGATCTAATATTGTTAAAATTAGACGTATAAAAGACGAGAATGTTCACCTAGGAACGCTTTACATGTTAATTTTTTTTTCTTTTTGGTCACTGTCTCCTCGTATTATTGGTTCTTGTGGGTTACCATGTTTAAGTGAAAATAATTTTGCAAAGTAATGCCCTCCATGGTTTCATGTTTCTACGTTTTGCTGTTGTAAGCTATCAAGTATCATGTCAGAGGATCAAAAAAGCATTCTATGAATTTTTGTTTAGCGGCGCTTGGCATGAGAATGGACAACATTTACTTACAACGTTTATTGGAAATGACGGTCAGCTGAACAGTATCTATTTACCACTCTTGCATTTGGTGCAACATTCTTGGACTTCAATAAGTTCCGCCCAAATGTTTACCAATTATCGGCTAACAAAGCTCAAAATTCAGAAATTTGAATAAAAATAAAAAAAAAAAAGAGAACAAAAAGTTTTGTATCAAATCAGATCTAAATTCAAATATCCACGGATTTGCCGTCGATTGAGCTAGTCAACAATAGCAGCTTCTAGTGCGATTGAAATCGTCAATACATTTGAGAAGCACGAAAACCGTAGGTGAGTTGCTGTGATGGTCTGGTATGTGAAAGGACACAATTACATTCAGGAAAGCAAACGACATAAGTGAAGCAGCAGGACAAAATTTGCCTTTAGGTGAACAGTACCATGGGTTAGAGGGGTTAGTTCTGCATTAGTTGGCACAAAGTTATAACTGAAAAATTCCTGAATTTGACCTCTTTGCAGCATTTAAAAGTCCGAGGGAGAAACACAAGTTTCCCAAGTAAATACCAGTTAAAGTTTGTCTGCACAGTTGCTTATCTTGAGGAACGATCCACCTTAAAAGCTTACATTATAAATAACGCAAATCATGGCTCCAGAGATTGATCCAAATGCCCTTCAGAATATTACATTAGGAATTATCATCATTGAAAACTGAAGTAGTGTGGGGTTTTTTTTTACCCTCAAACTATTTTCTGATGTACTAAACAATATCAGCTTTCCTTTAAAGGCGCATTTTGTCCTGCTGGGTCACATATAGTACCCGTATGGTACTATTTATTAATAATTTCACTTACGGAAAAGAAGAAAAATATGAAAGACAGAATGACAGACAGATTTATAGTATCGTCTCATCTGAGAACCTTTTTTGTAGTTATTAAATACGAGAAAATGTGGCAACCATGGAAAAATTGCGCACCCTCAGTAGCGTAGCAGCTCAATTTAATAATATTATTACTATTCACTCGGAAGAATTTATTTATTGTACGATATCTAAGGTCATATATGTGATACATGAACTTAAACCTATTTTTGATGAGTCGACTTTTTTATTAAAAAAATTAAAAAAATGGGTTTCCCGCAGTTTCCCGCAGCAAAGCTGTAGTGCAAATGAATGTTGAGGATTTAAAGAATAAGTATCTGGCCCTAAAACTCTAAGGAAACTTAAAGAAAAAACTGCAGAAAGCTTTTTCGATGGAATTTTTAAGATTTATTAGGCACATTTTCTAACAAGCTTTTTGGACAGTGAAAAGTGCGCAATGGAAAAAGTGTATACATCAAATGAAAGCTCTTTCTTAGGAGAATAAGTCCTAGTGAACAAATTTTTACCCCGCGAAACCGCTGAACCGTGATAAGGCCTTACACGGTTGCAGTTCAGGACGCGCTACTACATATTATCCGTGCAGTGTGAGAGGTACCCAAGTTCCCCCCTCCAATACATCGCTGCTGGGCGATTATTCGATGAAATTTTGATGAATTCTCATCCCTTAGAGAGTCACTTTAACGAATTCCTCATCATCAATACAATACTGGACACTCATAAAAACGGTATTTTTCGCGTAAAACGGGCCTCCCTGGCCCACTGTGCGACGCCCGCATCGCAACGGATTGCATCCGCCGACGCGACGCCGCGCCACGTCCAGATCGTCTTCCCGTCTTCCGCCTAACCCCTTTCATCCGTGATCCTCCTCGGATGAAAGAGGTTCAAAGGAAAGCTTTTAAAGTTTTCGCAGGGGTTATGAAAAATTGCAGGCACGGCCCTCGGCGGTCCAAGCATGCACTGAAAAAAAATTCGGCCGTTGAAGCCGTAATTACGGGCTGTATAGACATACCGTCTGCGTTCCGGGCACCGAGGCCGAAAGTTCTGGGCGCAGGCTGGCCAAAAAGCAGTGCTTTTGCAGTACTTTTTCAATTCACTCTCGAGGAATTCAGTACCTCCTCGACAGAAAAAATCAATACATTTCCAGTGCCTCCATTTGATGAAATTCGAAAAATTTCAAGAATTTTAATTTCTCCCGTAAATCGCGAGGAAAAATGACAAAAAAGAAAAAAAATGCCGGCTTTCTTGTGAAATTTCCGCACTTTTTCAGAATTTCCGGACCGCCCTTAATAATCAGTACTATTTCCGAACTTTCCGGACACCCTGTAGCTACGACTCCAGCACCCGGAACTTACGGTCTCTAAGCCCGGAACGGACGGTACATCTATATAGCCTGGAAATTGTTTTTTTTTCTAGTGTGATACTGGTACCCGGACAGTTTCAAGTGATGAGCCCTTTCAGCCCTCTTTGGAAAAGAGGGCTGTCCAGACGGCTTCTTCCGAAAAATATTCAACATGAAATGTATTAGAGATGAAATTTTGAGCTTGCTCGATGTACATTCTGAGACTTCAGAACAGATTTAATGGGTCGCACTATCTAGACGAGGTCCGAATCGAAAGAAAACAGCACGTGTCCTCAAAATCTTACTAAAAAACGATTCTCGCGACAGGAAATTCAGAAATCAAATCCTGAAGGTGGTATTGCAAATTACTTTCGACACAGACACAATGGAGCTTCGATTATTCAAAATGATTCTCTGAGGGTCCAGGTGCTTTGATATGAATCGATTGATCATCACAGGTGTAAATTGAGAAAAGCGAGCGGGCTGATTATTGACATTGATAGACAAAGCTATACACAAGGAAAACATAGGAAGTATGGAGTAATCCTATTGGTTGGTTGAGCGGTTCCTATAGACTGAGGAAGAAAATGAATAATGATAGACTAACTATAGGGTCTCTCATAAGTTGTCGTTACTTAGTCTACTACCTATACCTCCTTTGTCAATTCGTCGTCTTCTTCACGGAAGAACGTAACTCCATGTCAATGTTGTAAAATTTCTCCCTCGCAAATCGCATATAATCAAGAGAATTTAGGGCATTCCTAACTGAAAATGTCACTGATTTTTCCTTGGATTCCGTGCAAAAATCAGACAAATTTTTGACGGAATAGCACGGGTAAAATTTGGTAAAATGAAGTAAATTGTTTGAGTCAATTTGGTAACCTTGGAATGGAGTTACGTTCTTTCGTGCGGGAGACGACGAATTGCAACCACCTGCTTTTACCAATGTGATCATTCCATACCCCTTTGGTCTTCTTCGTTTTTAGCTTGGCCTATCAGTTTCAATGGTCGGCTCGCTGTCTTACCAACCTGCTGGATCCATACATTTGATCGGCGTGGGGTGTCAAATTTGACGAAGGAAATTCCAAAGTGATTTACCTTGAAGTAGCAAGTGTAGATGGTGAACGTCACAGGGGTTGCGAGTCTCAATCGCTGAGCATGGCCTTCACGTCGGACAGGGCTGGGCGGAGGGTCATTTACTCATCGTTGGCGGATGGATGGTGGATGACGTGGGGTGGGTGCTCAGGCGCCGCGCATCAGAGCCGCAGGTGTCTTGTGCCAGTCCCGATGCCTTTTTCTCTTTTCTCCGCGTGCACTTTCACTCCCATAATCAAAAGTCCGATTTGCACCCAGCACAAGTCAAATCTGCAATCAGAAGATGGATAAAGATCAGCCTGATGGGCCTAGTACAGGCAGACAAGATATACAGTCAAAGACAAAGAGAGGCCAGGGTGTCTACTAAAACAGGCTGGCCAAAAATCAGTACTTTTGCAGAACCTTTTCAGTACATTCCCAAGAAATTCTGTACCTCCTCGCCAGAAAAATGCAGTATACTTTTTCAGTACCTCCATTCGTGTATATTTCAGTGAATTTTTGCCACAATACAGAGCAAATTTCTTAAAATTTTCAAAGGAATCCGCACTAACGTTCTCTCGTAAAAAATTAAATTGCCCTGTTAAATTTGGCAATAGTTGATGTAGCTTGGTTCCTCTCCGTTAAACGCGGTCCAAATTGTTGACTAAATCTGCAAATTTTCATGTTTATTTCGTCACATTTTGAATTTTAAGGGGTGCAGGGAGCAGGGTGTCTAGTACTTTTACGGCACTTTTTCAGTACATTCCCAAAAAATTCAGTACTTCCTCAACAGAAAAATTCAGTACTTTTTCAGTACCTCCAATTGACAGAATTCGAAAATTTTCAAAAATTTGAACTTCTCCCTTAAATTTCAACAAAAATGACGAAAAATGAAAAAATTCCGGACCTTCTAGTGAAATTGCCGCACTTTTTCAGTACTTCTGGACCGCCCTTACAAAATTAGTACTATTTCCGGACTTGTAGACACCCTGTCAGTCTGAAAGGGCCTGTTACAAGCAGGCAAGAGATACAGTCCGAGACAAGGAGAGACCCTCCATTCTGCCGTGCTAAGGCAGAACGTCGTATGAGCCATCAGGCGTTGCAAAGTTTCCTTCGAAATATCATGGATATTCAGGAAAATTTGTGAATATTTCTCTTCCAATTTTTCAGAGGCTTTCGTTCGTAATTTGATCTAAAAAGTCTGAAAGTTGCAAGGACAAATATTCATAACTTTCCTCAAAAATAAATGTTTTCTCAGAGGAGTGGCGTGAATGATCGATTATAATTATCGATATTCCTCCATTTAAAGCTACGGTAAAGAATCGATTATTAAGGTATTCGTTGCCAACACCCTGTTTGTCGCACAGAAAAAAATGGATGGTGCTGACGACAGAACCTTTTGTTCATACGGCTCCCACAGTTCCTTTGTTACACTTACAGAACTTTTCTGTTGTGAGAACAGAACTTCTGTCGTGGCAACAGAGTACTCTGTTCCCACGACCAAAAGTTCTGTAAGTGTAACAAAGAAACTGTGGGAGCCGTATGAACAAAAGGTTCTGTCGTCAGCACCATCCATTTTTTTCTGTGCGATCCTTTTCCATAGGTTTAAAAGACAGATCAGTCGATATATCGCAAAGCACGCCACGCCACTGGGCGTTTTTACTTGGCAAGGCAGCATTGGCATTTTGACAATGGTGGAGGCTTTTACTTTAGGCTCTTCAACATTCAACTGTTGACATAACTATTAGGTGGATTCTTGACAGCGCGTTGAGTAGTTCGTTTTGCAAACAAACTGAAGTTTTTTAAACTCGCTTGGTTCATGACGTCACCCGAAGCTCATCATCTACCTAGTGGATAGATCAACAGCCGAAAAAAGACGAGGAACGTTTTCTCGCGCCAAATAACAATACATTCAAGCGACTTCAGTCGTCAAACTAGGCATTTTTAGAATGTTTCGAAAACTGTCTATGAATAATCGATTCTAGATTAATTTATTATTTCGCTGCCGTTTAGTCACTTAATCATTAGCTACATGTTTCGATTACCGATTATTTGTTTATATGATCGTTTTCTCGCGCCAAATAATAAAACGTTCAAGCGACTTCAGTCGTCAAACTGGGCGTTTTTAGAATATTTCAAAAACTGTCTGAGAAAAATCGATTCTAGATTAATTTATTATTTCGCTGCCGTTCAATCGCTTGACCGATTCGCTACGTGTTTCGATTACCGATTATTCGACTTTTCTATGTAATCGGACACATGTTTCGATTACCGATTATCTGTTAATATGGTCGTTTTCTCGCGTCAAATGATAAAACATGCAAGCGATTTCAGTCGTCAAACTAGGCATTTTTAGAATATTTCGCTAACTGTCTATGAATAATCGATTCTAGATTGATTTATTATTTCGCTGCCGTTTAATCGCTTAATCATTAGCTACATGTTTCGATTACCGATTACCGATTATCGATTATTCGATTTTTTTAAGTAATCGAGCATGCCTAGCGGGCGCAGCGCTGCCGTCAGGCGAGACACGTAACAATGGCAAATCCCGACCTTTGTCGAGATAACATTTTACATTTTCGCTCAAGTTCACGGCCCGCCCGCCCTCGCCGTCTGGCGGATCCGATCCCACCCGATCTGTCGGCTCTTATAAATAGGCACAATTCGTGCGCACAAATGCCAAAAGTTGCCACGTAAAGACGATTTTTCTGCAAGATATTCCGTGAGAAAGACGAGTTTAAGAGGGCCGATTTGCGTATTCTCTGACTATACTGCCGTGCTAAGGAAAAACGCCACATGAGCCTCTAGACGTTGTCATTTTTCCTTCGATAAAAAAATAATTTACTGGGAAAATTGTGAATACTTTTCTTCAAAATTTTCAGGCGATTTTGTACGGGATTTATCCTAAAATGACTAAAAATTATGAGGAAAAATATGGATAGCTTTTCTAATGTTTCCTTGTGTAATGTATAATGTTGTATAATGTTTTAATAAGTATAATTGTATAATGTTTTAATAGCTTATGTTTCCTTATTCTCGAGGGATTATTTCGGGGAAAATCAGTGTAAATTTCAAGAAACATAAGTGGATCTAGAGGAGTATCGGAGACTTAAGTAGTTCATTGTGAGGAAAAAGTGCTCTATAGCGACAAAAGGCCAAAGCTTTCTAGACCCCTGCTGTATGTCACTTATCTCCCTTTCGAAACGAGGACGAAAAATTTTATAAAAAAAAAAATCAATTTCATTTTTTTTTCCATTTATATGAAGAGGCGTGGCGTGTTTTACGATACATCGATTAATCTGCCATTCACACCATTATTGGAAAAGGATCAATAAACAGGGTGTTCCCAACAAACACCTTAAGAATCGATTCAGTGGTCTGGCGTGCTTTGCGATGTATCGATTAATCTACCATTTAAACCTATGGAAAAGGATCGATAAACAGGGTGTTCGCAACGAACACCTTCATAATCGATTCTTTATCATAGCTTCAAAGGGAAGATATCGATAATGATCATTCACGCCTCGCCACTGAATCGATTCTTTACCATGGCTTCAAATGGGGAAATATCGATTATCGACCATTCACGCCTCGCTACTGCAGCAACTATGAAAAATCCGCGAGGGAAAAGAATCCAAAAATTTCAAATTATGGCAACACTCGAGAGGCTAGACTGCCACCGTGCCACGCCCAAGGATTCAAAATAAAAGTTCCCAGAATAAATTACCATTAAACTCCATTTGAAATGTAAAATTTCTTTTGTTGAGAGAATTTCATAAAATTTCGTGGAATTTCCAGGGGTCGAGCAAATACCCCGCAACAAATAACCGAGAATCAGTTAAGAACTCTGCGGACTAATTATTGAAATTGATAGACAAAGCTATAGACAAGGTAGACATAGGGAGTATGGAGCAATCCTATCGGTTAAAATGGGTGGTTCCTATGGAATAGTAAGGGTCAAAAGTTCCGCAAACGCGCACTGGAAAAAAAAGTCGCTTGGATCTAGGGTCCAGACTCTTGAAAACATTCACAAGAAAAAATACTCTTGACTCAATCAGACTTTTAGTTTGAATCAAAAGAAAATCCGCCTAAATCGCAAGAGGCTGATCGGCTCTTCGATTTAAGGAAAAATCGGATTGAATCAAGAATATTTTTTCTTGCCAATGTAATTATGGGTCTGGACTCTAGATCCATGCGACTTTTTTTCCAGTGTGCGTCGCGTAATTTAAGGACAGCCCCTAACTTTCCCGGTTTTCTAGACCTCCAGAAACCCTCACTGGAAAAAAAAAAAAAAAAAATAACACATTGGATCTACAGTCCTGCCTCTCAAAAACATCGACAAGAAAAATACATGCCCGCCCATTTTCTACCCAAGTTTGAAGTAGTTTTGAACGAAACATTTGAAAATGAACTATCATTGTGAGTCAGAAACATCTTCAAGATGACAAACTCCACTGGAAAAAAAAAAAAAAAACACATTGGATCTAGAGTCCAGACTCTTAAAAACATCGACAAGAAAAAATACTCTTGATTCAATCAGATTTAAGCTTAAATCAAGAACCCAGCCTCTTAATTTGAGCGGATTTCCTTTTGATTTAAGCAAAAATCTGATTGAATCAAGAGTATTTTTTTTTGTCGATGTTTTCAAGAGTCTGGACTCTAGATCCAAGAGACTTTTTTTCCAGTGTGCGTCACGTAATTTAAGGATAGCCCCTAACTTTCCCGGTTTTCCAGACCTCCTGCGAAATCCTGCGAGTCTAATAAAGATTTTCCGAGAATCTAAAGATTCACTGCGAAACGTAATTTCTTAAAATTTCATAAAATTTGGCATCTCCGTCCGCGCCGGCGCGGAATTGAATCCAATCGTTTGACTTATCACACTTATCACGGGCGACGTTGCCAGTTGGGGCGGTTTTCCCCGGACGTGATTGCGGCGAAAATCGGGGGAGTCGCCGAGAGCGGCGATTGCACCGACGCACACTGGACCGGGTCACTTGGAGACGTCGGACAAAACCTAGAGACTTTGGAAGCTTATATTTTCGAACATATGAAACAAAAGAGTTCAAGAGTGGGTTCGTTGGTTTTTTCGTGTAATTTTCTTTCAGAAACACCCCTTGCAATTTAATTTAGGACGAAAGAAACATTGAAATTTGAAATTTTAGTGAAAAATTACATGTCTGACCTCTCCTGTTGGCTCGTCCCACAGGGTTGCCACGAAATTTAGAAAATTAAATTCCCTGACATTTCCCTGAAATATTTTCGTAAATTTCCATGACAACTAAACAAAT